ATTAAATTCCCTACGAGAAATGTTGTACTCACTTTTTTCGAAAAATGTGTGTTTACGAAGATATTTCCAAAAATCTACATCCTTGGAAATAACTTAGTAAACACACTTTTCGTTTTCCCTTAATTCCACATATTTCACGAGATATTTCCCCAAAAACTGCGACTCGTTCGCAAAACAAGCTTTTCCCGTCTGCGAAAATGTAATGTTCAACGACCATCCCGATGGATATGCTTGGTGTTCAATTTTCTCTTTCAGTTTTTGTCAACTCCAAAATGTTAGGTAAGGCTCGCTGACTTGGCTCGTTCTCGCTTTCGATTTCGATCGAGAGATAAACCAAAGAGACAAACAGAAACAAAACGGAAAAGAATAGAACGCGTAGAAAAATAAATCAAAGGGAAAACATAAGAAGGGGTGTACAGTGTGTCCTAGAAACAGGTCCGGGTATCTTCGTTACTTTAAACAGTAGGAAGAAATTGAATTTGTCGAGTGTCTACATTAGCCAACTGATATTCAGAGTCGTTGGAACATCTGGTCGTTCAATTAGAAGATTCTCATTTCTCTACTTGTGCTTGCCGTCTTGTTTTCACCTGAAATTCATCTCAAGAATGAGTCTTATACAATAAAAGACAAAATCTAAATAGATAAATAAAGTTACAGACTCGCTCCATTAACATGGAACGGTACTAGTGTACATAAACAAAATTAGATAACAAAGAACTAACTATAGGCACAGTAACGAGTCCACGTGTGCAACTTATTCGGCACTTTATCCTTCCAAGCCTCGAACCTCTCGTCGTGAAGCTTCCAGTTGAACGACCGGACCAAGAGTTGCTTAACGTAAACCTTGCTCGACGCATCTGAACGGCTGATCCTCTTGTTTAAAGTAACGAAAATATATAAATCCTGTTTTACGACGATCCTGTTAACGGAGGGGGTTGGTTTGTACAAATAATTATTTCCAGACATCCGAAACGTGCAACGGCCGACCGTTAATCGCCGTGGCTGCGCCCGCTGAACCAACCAGAAGTATCTCTCATCATCTATAGACACACTAGATTGTTATACGTGAAATATCACTTACGAAAGGATTTTAGGAATCTTGCGCGTAGGAATAGTCGTAACTACTTGGCCCCACAATAGAGTGCCGACTCCGAAGAACAGGCACCACATCCATTGTTCTAAAGTGAGAGCTTTCGTGCTGAACGCCATTTTACCGTATTGTATGATAACTACCTAGAAAAGAGACATACGATTCTGTTAAAGGGACGTAGAAGTAACCGGGGAACCTCGCTGGCCGACGTTTCAAAAGGACGTCTCCGTCGTTTTTCAGGCTGGAACGGTTCTTCTGTTCGGAGTACCTGGCAGCTGTGTAATCGATTAGAATTTGCAGGCGTCGGTGGGAAGAATGGATTCCTAGTTTAATATACATTTCACTGATTTTCAAAGATGAACAGAGATATAGCAAAGATATATATATATATATATATATACACTTGATATAAGTATATACTTATATTATATTATTATAAGTATATACTTATATTAAGTGTATATAAGTATGTAATATGTAAATATGTAAGTGTATATATATATATATACTTATATTAAGTGTATATATATGCAAAGCGTCTGCTCGACAGCTTGGAAAGCTCCAAAGCTTCTCTGATAAAGCTTGGGTGGTCCATGGTTTCTGCTCGAGAGCTTAGAAGCTCCAAAGCTTCTCTGATAAAGCTTGGACGACCCAAAGCTTCTCTGATAAAGCTTGGGTGGTCCATAGCTTCTCAGATAAAGCTTGGACGATCCAAAGCTTCTCAGATAAAGCTTGGACGATCCGAAGCTTCTCAGATAAAGC